GGGGGGGGGGGGGCGGAGGGGGGAGCTCTCCCTCTCTGCCAGACCTTCGCAGGTGCCAGGTTGCCTCTGCCTATACTGACCTCTCCCCATGGACCCCTCCCCCTGGCTCCCTGCTTCTTTCTCAGGCCTCAGCATGATCCCTCCTCCCAGAGGTCCTCCCTGACACCCCTGTCCAGGGCTGGGTTCCCTCCCCCTGCCAGGGTCCCCAGCCCTCCTGCATCTGCCCTGTCCTGGCACTGAGCACTCTGGGTTGTGATGGATTCCTGTGTGTCCCCAGCCAGACTGGGGGCTCCCTGAGGGCAGGGACATGCCTCATTCCCTTCGGTGTCCCGGGGGCCAGCCCAGGGGCTGAACAGGCAGAGGTGGGCAACAGAAGCAACAGAAGGTGGGATGCGTGAATGATCTGATGGGGGAGCTGGGAGAGGGGAGCAAAGAAGAGAGGGAGCTGGGGGGAGGGGAAGAGCAGGATCGAGAGAGAGAGAGAGAGAGAGAGAGAGAGAGAGAGAGAGGCACTGAGGACACTGGGCCGGGTGTGCAGGGACCCTTGGGCCCTGGGTGCTACCTGGCTCTGGACCCCTGACCATCTGGAAGCCCCTCTTCATGGCTAGAATCAGGAGGGGAGCAGAATCTGGTTAGTTGCAGGGAAAGGAGAGGTTTCGTTGCAGGGAGAGCAGGGGGCTCCAGGAGGGACCCGAGAACCCAGGCTCTGCCCTCTCCCTGTTTGTCTCCCATGACAGTTTCCTGTCTACTCACAGCACCACCTATGGCCCATTACCTTACACAGCCTCAGTTAGCAGCCCTCAAATACATTTCCGTCTCCAACTGTTCGTGTGTGTAGAGCTATAAACGTAAACACACACACACACACACACACACACACACACACACAGTTTTTATGAGAAGAGGGGCCTAAGTCTTCAGCATTTTACTGACTGTCCTCATAGAGCAACATGGAAGCCAGCGACGCAGCTCAAATTCAGCTCTTGGCGAGCCGGCTGCTCTGGGTCGAGGCTGGTATGGAAACCAGCCTGGTCTTAGTCTCCCATGACACCTCTAATTACCAACAGAGCTCTTCTCTCCGAAGAGGCAAGGTGTCACACCTATGTCCTGCTTATTTCAGGTCTTCCGTGAGGCACCGCTTCCTCCAGGAAGCCTTCCTGGATTGCCAAGCCCAGATTAAGTGTCTCTTCTGTGAGTGTCCACAGGGTCCTATACTTTACCCATCAGGGCCCCGCAAAATGGGTATCTACCTCTCTCTCTAGTCCCATTGGACCATGGGTTCCTGGAGGGCAGGGACTGTGAGTCATAGTTGTATCCCCAGCGCCTCTTACAGGTGCTATGTGTTCGATCAGCATTCGTTGAATGAAGGAGTAAGCCTCGTGACCCCGATGCCCCCACCGACCTCTGAACCTCCTTTCTGCTCCTACACTGGCCTCGA